GGGCCAAACACAAAAATGTCAATGCAAACAAATTACTTCTTCCGAGTTATGCCGTTGTTGCATTAACATGGATGATTTTACCAGGCTTGTATCTTAATCCTCCAGCGTTTGCATAATCATTTCGAACAAATACACTCGTGGTGCACCTTTGAGCTGATAATACATTTTCGTGATCTCTGAGTGAATATCAAAGAAGTTCTCTCACAAATTATTTGGCTGAGAAACTATTTAATTTTGAAGGAGGAAGTGAAATAAATGTAACGATTTTATCTATCCATAACTAATTTGGGATTTTTTGCCCCTAAACCCAAAACAACAACTAATTTGGAAAACAAAATAGTTAGCCCAAACACAAATTACAAAATTAATATTCTTTTTTTCTATATTAAAAAAAAAATGTTTACATTTCTTATGTGCAATTTTATTATGCAAATATATTATTCAATTTTTCATCAAAATATTTTTAAATTGTAAATTTAAAAAGGAAAATGTGTTTAATCGAATGAATGATTTTATTTTCACGATATAAATTTTAAAATACAATTTAAGTTTTCTAATTATTATTTTTTTAACATGTTTTTCTTCTAATTTTTCAAAACGGACATCTCTCTATAGCGGACAATTTTCGATTCCCCGTGAGTAACAATAATGGGCTACTATTAGTAACCATTTAGTCTTCATTTTTATTCATGAATTCGCGTTTTTGGTTTTGTTTTCTTATCTTGCTCCGGTCCTGGCAAATGATTAATTTTTAGGTGCGGGGTGGCCGAGCGGACTAACGAGTGTGCACAGCACTGCGCGTTGCCCGAAAACGTGATAACCGAAGTTGGAGACTATAAAATAATTATGAGTTCGAGTCCTGCTGCCCGAGTGGAAGGAGTCTTTTAACTCTGGCTTTAATTCCCCGCCCACACCCTCTGGTCCGCGAAATCCCCCGTATAACCTAAAAGGCGAGGTAGGGGGAGAACAAAAAGAAAGATTAATTTTTTATTATTATTTGGAAAGCTATACTCAAATATACAATTCCACAAGAGAAAACAACGCTGTTTAGATTAGATAATTAGAATGTTTAAGCACCGTACTATATCTGAAAATAGTTTCTGTTTGACTTAACTGCAAGACTTGTAAGACTCTTGTGCAAGACTTGCAGGATCTGGTCTTGGTCTTGCGAAGGTCCAAAACCAAGACCAATTTTGGTCAAAAACTATCTGTGGCTATCAGAGTAGATTTAAATTTATAATATTTTAAAAGAATTTGCAGTGGTTATTACATATCGAGGTTTCGGTGATACTCCGTCCCCCCTCCAGCATCTAGAATTTTATAGCAATATATTATTGGTTATATATTGAACCAATAATTTAAAATTAAAAAAATGGTTTAAAAAATTCGTTCTTTTAGAGTTATTTCTACATTATTTGTACTACTTAATTATTGAATATCTAATTTTGCAGCCAGAAGCCATCCATTTTAGTCTTATACTGTTACTGAGATGGTAGTTTAGATGTTCAGAGACAATTCAACCGCGACCACTGTGACCGCTGGCACAATTTTTTTTTTGTTATTTTTTCTAACTTAATTACAGAGAAATCTCTGATAAGACCAAGTTCAATATTTTGAACTGATATTAGATAGAAGAATGGCATGGGGCCCGCATATCAAGAACAAAACAAAACCTAAACCTAAGACTACGACTCATATATTCACTCCTTTAAGGTTCAAAATTAAAACTTAGTCAAAAATTGAATACATACACATACTTACTTAAATCCGTTTGAACCTATGTCTCACGGATAACGGGAAAACCAAAAGACTCAAACAGACTTTTCAATCAAAAGCTTTCTGGACTACAACCAAAGCTCCCTGGTAAGTTAGTAACATTACTTTACAACCAACAGTTAACAACCATATACGAACAAACTACAAAGGATTTCACAACAACTCACAGGCCATACCAACTCACTGATTCAAGGCATGGCCACATCCAACATGCCTCATCGAACCCGAAGGAGAGTCAGGAAAAGCTGATAATGAATCTCCTCGATTAACATTAAGTATTGAATCAAGATAATAAGAGAAGCCACGGGTTACTCTCTTCGTCAGACCTACCAACTTTTATTCCTTATTCTTCTCCACGACAGCACACTCGCTGGTTGTTGGCCCTCCCAACAGGTGTAAGTTGAAAAATAAAGATTAATAAAAATCGAATAATATTATATAATTATATATTTGGTTTAGTTCAAAAGATATTTCAAGTGACTAATAATTTATAGAGTGTTTAAACTTGCAAAAATGTAATTATAATTTTAGATTTCAGATCCATCTAACATGGATACGACCGCTGAGAGAAAAGAGTTCTTGGTACTTGGAAATTTCGTCGGAAGGCTCCTGGAAGAATTTCCACTAGTCATAAGATCCACAGCGTTAAAGGAGATTGAAGAATCTGAAAAGCATTTCTGTGAGAAAGCACCCAGTCTTCAGCGGCCGACAATCGCTCATGAGCTGTGGAACATCGAACACAGCCGAAGGGTAGGTTCAGTTTGTTATTAATAATTATTAAGATATTATACATTGCCTATTGCTATTATGTCTTTAATATAGCGCCAATATTCTAACCCTCTTCCCATATCATTGTCTCGGTAAATCTTACAAAAAGCCTTAAAATTACTTTATAGCGGGATCATTTCTGAAAACAAAATCTCTGCACATTTTGATTCGAAAGCTTCAAAGCGTATCACAGCCATTTACAAATATGTTCTTATCCGATTCCAGTCCTTATCAAATTCCATCCTTTTTTATCAAAGCCCTTCCCATAATTTTCCAATTCCATCATATTTAATCATTTTCTTTTCATCATGTTCCAAAGAATCGTAATAAACATTTTGATTTTTTATCACAATTTTTATGTAGACTCAAAGTTTCAAAATTTTATTTTGGAAATCTTGGTGTATCTGTTGATATTTGCTTATAATTTATTTATAGCATAGATAATGTTAGAACTGTTTAATTTCATTATTTAAATAAACAAATTCAATAATATTTTACATATTTTTTTATCTCCAGTAAAAAATATAAATATATTTTTACTTTTTAATTCATTATCTTTAATTTTTTTTTCTTAACCCCAATAATATAATACAAAATGAACAATGTATTTTACAATTTAGTTTTGTGCTGAACGCCTTTTACTGTAACTGTGTTACATTTTAAGGGCTTCTTGAAATTGTCTTTATATTTTGTTATAACAATAATTATTAAATGTATTAATAAAGGTGATGGGGCTCACCAATTTTTGTGTTTTATTACTACTTAATAACTAACTTACTAGCTAACTTACTATCTAGGATTGAACTTTGCCACCGAACTGGAGCCGGTGCTGGAGTTAGCGTATTGAAAAGAGGATTTAGAAGTTCTTTCAAAGAGTCCATAAATTTTACGTGTCGTTTTAGAATGAACTGTTCAATCGTGGAAAGCTCAAAGATTTCGTGGAGCTGATCTACCTTTAATTTTTTTAATGAAGTGGACCGAGTCATTTTTCTTAATACACTGTTTTGGTATCGTTGGATGTGTTTTAGTGTGCCGCCAGTAAGATGTGTGAAGAGTGGTGCGCCGTACATCAAGGTAGGTCGTAGAATACTTTTATATATTAGCAATTTAAATCTAAGTGACACTGTTGGGGAAGTTGAAAGATGTTGGAGTCTGTATATTTTCAGTCTTACAGATTTGATTTTGTTATAAATGTGAGTCGACAGTTTCATATGCCGATCTAGCTTAATGCCAAGGTAGACGACGGAGGGAGTCGGTGGTTGAGATGTTTTTCCAATTTTGAAGAACTTTGGCAGCCTACATTTTTTTCCTTTTTGAAGTGAGAATACTACGCAATCAGTTTTTGATCTGTTTACTTTAATATTTAGGAGTTCCAGCTTCTGTACAATTGTTTGGCAAACAGTCTCGGCTTGAACTAATGCTTTGGTAGGGTTTACGCTTGCACTATAAACGGCTATATCGTCGGCGAAAGCAGCAATAGTAGCGCGTTTGTAGTTCTGACCTATGATTTCTGCCGTGTAGATGCAAAATAATAGTGGTGAAAGAACTGCTCCTTGGGGTACACCGCAGGTGAAGGAGACAGTACGGGAGTGTTTGTCTTGTACTCGTACAGCCAGGCTTCGATTTGTTAAGAAAGACTGTATGATACTGTAGAGCAGTTCAGGGCACTCAAGATCAAATAGCTGCTGGCATAGAATGCTGTGAGATACGGAATCGAATGCTTTCGAGCAATCTATAGATATCATTGCTGTGGCTGTATTTTTATTGAAATTGTGATAGATTTCAGATTGTAGTTTCATTAAATGGTGTTGAATGTTTAGTTGTGCTTGGAAACCTGTTTGTTGATATGGTTGACTGATTGTTCCTCACAGAAATCCCTAAGATAATTCAGAATTATCTTTTCAAAAATTTTTGCGAGGTGTGGCAGTAAACTGATAGGTCTATAGTGTTGTGGAGCATTGCCTGTTTTTGCCGGTTTTAATAGAGGGAACAACATTGCATGTTTCCATTGTTCTGGAAAATATCTCAGTCGGAGGCAGGTATTGTATAAATTTGTAAGGTGTACTATACCTCTCCGAGGAAGTTGTTTTAGCAAAATGGTTTGTACACCATCTTGACCCGGTGCACGGTTACCGTTTGTTCGTCGAATACGGTTTTTAATTTTTTAGAACTTATAAACATGAAATTTATGTCTCTGGTCGTACTAGGTATGATTGATTGTGGGTCAGTTCTGGCATAGATATCCCTTCCGTAGTGGTCAACCAGAACCTCGGCTTGCTCAATAGAGGTAAGCAGGCGGTCCCCGTCGTGAAGTCGAATCGTTGAAGACTTTCTAGTTGCAGTTTTTGTAAGTTTCCAGAACTTTCTAACGTCGCCGTGAGTTCCTGTGACTCGATCTTGCCATAATGACGTCTTTTATTTTTTAAGTAAGTTTTTGATTTGGAATGTAATTGAATTTAGACTTTCTTAACTTCGGTGTTCTTGGTACGATACCACCTATTTTTCAATGTTCGCCGACATTCGATCAACGTCATAATATGCGGTGGAGGTCGTCTGAGGTGGGGTGGTTGTGGCTGAAAGGTAGGTATGGTTAATTTTGCAGCATCGATAAGCACAGTGGTGAAGAATTTGATATCTCTTCCAGTCTGCCTGCTGATACTTGAATTTCTTCGCCATTGGTTTTTCTGATCCATGTATATTATAGAAAACTGGGTGGTGATCTGATGTGATGAAGTCAAGGGCACAGTATCTAGTAATACGACGTGGTTGTCTAGTAAGAAGGAGGTCAATAGTAGAGGTAGATCCCTTCCCAGCATGGCGATAAGTGTATGTTGCTGGGTGCACAACCGTGAAAGCTGTGTTGAAATCTCCCACAAGCCAATGGTTTGTTTTCTTCACACAAATTTCAAGCAGTTGTCGTAGTTCTCGTAGAGACCCACGAGATCGACGATAGATAACAATGATATAGGTAGGCTGTTGCATCAATACTTGTATAGTGATATGAATAATTCTGTTGTCTACTATACACACTGGTGCAGGTATCTTCTTCCAAGTTATGCCGTGACTTGTCGCTTTTAGTACACCTCCATGAGGATCAGAAGATTCATCAGTGACTACTGAGTAGCCCTGGAAGCAAGGGCGACGATCCAGTGTCCGAGTATCTGTGATGATTGCAATAGAGAGCTCAGTGATGGCTAACAGTGCTTCCACTTCTTCTATCTTGACTGACAGGCCGTTACAATTGAAGTTAAGAATGGAGTATACTCTCATTTTTGGGTAACGAGGTTCACTACTGAATTTATTAAGGTGATAAAGCTGCTGTACTAGTCCATTCATAGATTTCCGGAACTGTGTAAGCCATGGTGGTGGTTCAGCTTCTGGAGGAGGTTCTCGTACTTGTTGGAGTGTTGATGGGTCAGTTGGAAATATTAAAGTCGTCGCATAAGTTTTTCCGGTTTTTGGATTCGGAGTAGTGTTTGATGTCGCATCGGTAGATTTGGGTGCTGTTTTCTTTCTTAAGGCCAATTCTTTTTTTTTCTTCTGCCGTTGTTCACTGTACTGATGAAAAAAAAGATAATTGCACTGGCGAAACGAGGCAACGTGTTCCTGTGAGCAATTCGGGCACCTTGGTTGACCCTGTCGGGGACATGCTGAAATATTATGAGGTCCAAAGCATCTGACGTATATTTCTACTTTGTCTGCAATAGTTTCTCGTATGTCTGAATTTTTGGCAGCGGAAACATTGGATGATGTCGCTTCGCCGAGTTGTATATTTCTCAACTCGAAAAATCACTCTATTGACTGCTTTTATTGCTCGAATCTCCTCGATTGTGACATTGGCAGGGATAGTCACAAGTATGGGAGAAAGTATGATTTTTAATATATTATTATATGTTATCTTTAATATATACAATATGTTTAGGCAACCAAAGATTCGAGGATGAATGGGAAAAAAGTTCGAGAAAATTTCGGGGACGCCATCGAGTCTTACCTGAAAGCTCTTCCTCAGAAGTTGAGGCCTCACATCCTGAAAGAAATCTGCGAAATCATTTCATACCATGGATCGAGACTACACAAACGTTAATGAAATATTATTATTTTGCTGGAAAGGATGTAAACATTTATATCTACTCATGCTACTAAATATATACAAATTGATGTAAATTGTATTTTATTACTAACATTTTAGTTTGTTGGTAAAAATTTCGTAAATTTTGTTAATATGACTTTTAAAATATTTATATATTTTTGCTATGTAAATATGTACAAATTGATGTATATTGTATTTTATAGTTACAATTTTTAAAATTATATAATTTTTAATTTGTTAGTCTAAATTTTGAGAACTTTGTTAATATGACTAATTGTTAATATATATTCTAATTAAATACTTGAAATATTATGCTAACTGTATTTTATTATATCTCTATTAAAAATAAATTTTGTATGTTAAAAATTGAATTACCTATTTATTTTTACCCATTCTCTTTAAATGAGATTTATATAGACAGATTTGTGTTCTTTAAATTAAAATTATTGATTAAATCTAAAGGTTGTGATTAGTGTTGCCCAAATCCGAGACCGAGACGAGTCTTGGTCTTGCAAATCCAGTCTTGGTCATGGTCTTGACATTGCACAAGAGTCTCGGAACAGTCTTGCAGTTACTTATTAGTTTATTACTCTAGAGATATTACTGTTTTTTTTCTGTTTTTTTTTTTAAATCTATTTATTGAATAATAATACAATCAGCCACTGGAGGGCTATAAGTATTAGGGCTAAGAGTTCTCATTCAAACAATATATACAAATAATAGAGAAATAAATATAAATATAAAAAGTAAATAAATAATACTGATGAAGAAAGAAAATAAAAGAAAAAAAAATAAACAATAACATAAAAGAAACTTATAAACACAATCATACCTATATACAATATATACATTCGCCCAGGAATCTCCGAGCCAGGCTTTTTCCCTCACATGTGGAAGGCAAAGCAAGACTCCAGGAGATCCCAGTGCCACTTTTCCAGCCGCATCACTAGTATTAGAAGCCAATGGAGACTGAAAGAGGGCACTAGAGCCACAGACGCTCGGGACATGAGTGGAGAAGCTGGCCATTGCCAGGACTCCAGAAGCATATTTACAAGAGATCTCTGGGCCACTGCCGTTTTAACCTTCGTGGAGGATTGTAGGGATGAAGGGAGCTGGATAGGGATTGAGCTAGAGGATTTGGATGATGGATAAGATTTTGGTGAAAGTTTGAGAATCTGGTTGGGATGTTGTCGAGGACAAATGGGATGTTAAGGTCATGGTGTAGGGTCTTGTTTGTGACATAATATGGGGCATTGACTATTGTTCTAAGTACTTTGGACTGGAAGGATTGGATGCGTTTGATATTCGAATGTTTAGCAGTTCCCCACAGTTCAAGTCCGTAGGTCCAGATAGGTTTCAGTATGGTCTTGTAGATTAAAAGTTTATTTTCAATCGAAAGATGGGATGTCCTACTTATTAATCTATACAGCTGGCCATATCGTCGGTTAAGTTCTTGTCTTTTAAGTCTGGTATGTGGGTTCCAAGTTAGTCTTTTGTCAAGAAGGAAGCCAAGGTAACGGACTGTGTCTGAGTAGGAATTGAATTAAAAAGGATTGACGGACAGGATCTGCGTCGCAGGGTAAAAGTGATATGTTTGCATTTTGATTCATTGATTTTGATGCGCCAGTTGTTGCACCACTGCTCAATCAAGGAGAGGTGAGATTGTAGTTTTAGAGATGCTATTTGAGGATCTGAGTGGGAAGATAGAATGGCAGTGTCATCAGAAAATGTAGCTAGAAATGTATCGGGATTTGAAGGGATATCGGAAGTAAAGAGGATATAGAGAACTGGGCCCAAGACACTGCCTTGTAGAACACCAGCCTCAACTGGATAGTAAGTGGAGAATGCGGTGTTACAACGGACTTGAAAGGAACGATACTGTATTTTTTTAGACCAAACCTATTTTTTTAGAGAAACCTAACTAAGCCAAAATTAAAAAAAATAGAGGATTTAAATACAAAAGTATATTGTTTATACCAATTATTAACATAGTGTAACTAAGATTGTCAAGTATAGTAACTATTGCAAAGTGCAAGACCACGATCGATTTTGGGCAACACTAGTTGTGTTATCTTAGAAAATCTTATTTTTATTATTTTTTTTTTAATTCTTAGTTCTTTTGATAAATATTAATATTTTAGTTTTGAAATATTTACAAAATTAATGAGTTAATTAAAATTGACAAAATTTTGGCTAATGGCCAATTTGAAACTTTCTATAAGAATTAAGGATTATATTCAAAAGAGATATTAGCATTGACATTCATCCCTAGCTGATTATGAGTTATTATCAGCTAAGTATAATATGAATTTTAACTCTTAAAAAATATATAGACATTTATATGTAAGGGTTCTATTTATATCGTGATATATTACTTAGATTAGAATTATTTGTTTTACTCTTAATGCATGGAATACTTTATCTACTTATCTTTATTTCTATTTATTTTTTATTATTCTTGCTCTTTTTGAATGAATCTGAACAACAAAAATTAAAACAGACCACAATCTCTCCTATGCAACTATACATTATATAATGGATTACTTGACGGTTTTGTAAATTTAATATTTCTTTAAAGTACTCTATGTAGGAACTTTTGTGGTCTTATTGTTGGCCACACAACGTTTTGTGATAAAATATTTTCAAAATCTCACAAAACTAAATATTATAAAGGTCACAAACAGCAAGATTTTGGTTCAAACATTTTCAGAAACGGTAAAGAAATAAATTTCACAAGTAACGCCCTACATATATAATAATCGATTTTAGTTTACGTATTTTAGTCTTTCTACAGATTATTTGTTATTATCATAAGAAAAAAAGCTGAGCACGCAAAGTTAAATAAAAAACGTCTGCCAAGTAAGGTCAGTATAGTATACCGGAATTTCTTTTTAAATATAAGAGAGGAATAAATAAATATATTAATACCGATACAAAAAAAATCGTAAACAAATGTGTATGTTTTTCCCTCTACCGTAGTTGGCAATAATTGCATATTAATTTATTTTTTAATGCCTATTTAAATTTAATACATTTATAATTAAATTGAATTCATTTAAATAAAATTAATGCATATATTCCTTATACACATTTATTGGCATAATGACTTTATTAGAATTAGTTTTATCTAATTAATGGGCAAGGTTGGGAAGGAGGACGTTCATTATTGGTCAATGCCTATGATTCGAGGCCCCGTCTATAATCCCCTGCCGCATCTCAGATTAGAGATGGCGGTTATTGTAAATAATATTTTAATCAGTTACTCCATTTTTGTTGTTGTTTTTTTCACCTCTATCTTCACCTCAAACTATTATTGAAATGGCCGCTTTTTAGGTTATTGTTTTGAGTGGGTAATTTATTGATGATATTAATTTAAAAAATATATTTATGGAAATTTACTGCTATACTAACTAAGAATATTACAAGTAAATGTGAAGTGGTACAATGTGTATGGAGAATAGTAGATAGGCCCTTTGATAGCACTCTAATAACGTAATTTAACGCTTAAAATGGTCTTTTCAGAGATTTATAAGGAATCTAACAAGTTAGATAATCAAGTGAGAAAATCTGATGCTCGCAATGTACAACTTTCATTTATCACTTAAATTCTTCACTACTTTAATTCTCTAAATGTTTACATGACGATTTTTTTTTGGAACAAAGGGACGATGGATACCTAATTATTTAGATGTAATCTCAGATCTAGAGTTATTAAACTAACGTAAATGTATTTAAGGATATAAACATATCTATGAAATATTTTTATATTTCTCTTCTTCTTTCAAACAATGGTATCGTATTTTAAACAATGTCATTGGCTTGATTCGGTGGATTTTAAATACTTTTTCAAACTTAAAAAAAAAAATAATAATTTTACGTGTAATAAGATATTTACTCGTTACCTTCTACAAGTTTATTTATTAGATATAAGTTTTTTCTAAAATTCTGAGCTTTTCACATACGTCTACCTTCTCACTATTTTTTTTTTCCGGAAAATCATTTTCGACCTGGGTAAGGATTTTTCTCTTATTCTCCTGTATTTAATTATCAAATTCTTTCAAAAGTTATATTAAGCCTTTTGTCATAACTCTCAATAAAGAGAGATAGTTAATTATTTAAAATAAACCAAATTAAAGGTACTTTAGAAGAGGACATTTTGAACATTGGGTATTTAAGAGACATCAATAGGAATGAAACCTACATAATATTAAAGATTACTTAATTATACATTATATGCACCGAGTTTAGTCAAATTTGTTGAAGCCGTTTTTGAGAAAAACTTAAAAATCGATAATATAAGATGACACTTCCGGTCAGTCGATTTTAGTGAAAACATTGACGGCACATCGGAGCCAGATACAAATCTTAAATACGGAATTTCAGTTTTGTGCCACTTTTAATTTTTGAGCTACGCTATTCACTCACAACAGATCATTTTCAGAGACTTGGTCATTTCGATTCAAATTACGTTAAAACATGTATTTTCGTTGAAAACTGATATTCAAAGATTTTCACGATCGCAATACTTTCCCTTATTGTTTGCTACCTACTAAGTGAAAGTAAAAAAAAAATCCAAACAATAGTCTCAAACAGAGGCGGAGGGGGAGAAGGGGAGGGGAGAGAGAGGTTGGCACCGGTGGATGCGGTTGAATTTTATGAGTTGAAACAAAGGATATTGCTCCAAAATTTTAGTCAATCTTGGGATTCAAAACATCATCAACACTGTTATCGAACTCAGTAAAAACCATATAGAACATGATAAGCTACACCATGAGAACCAGTTTGCGTCAAAGTAAGTTGTTGGTTTGGGATAGCATCTTGTATCAGGAATTGCAGAAATCATATTCGATCTGAACTAAATTTAATTCAAAATAGAAAATTCATTACTGACAACTAATACAAATGATATACGTTTCTATGCCATGTCATTTAAATTTAATAAATATGGCGGAGGGCCCTCCCTTATGGGAAGTGGTACTATTATTTTTCCTTGAGAACTGTTACCGTTAATCATGTACTTTTATTATCATTATGTCTTTAATCGAAAAACTAATTATTTAAAAAATATTATAATTGTATTTACCTTTTAGTAGTTTAAGAATTATTATTATTTAATGCTTATTACTTTCGCTTACCTATATATAAAATATATAGTAAAAGAAAGTGTTGCGATCGTGAAGATTTTTGAATCTCAGTTTTAAACAGAAATACACGTTTTGAGTCCAAATAACCAAGTCCCTCAAAATAGTGTGTGTGTGTGTGTGTGTGTGTGTGTGCGTGTGTGTGTGGGTGTGTTTGTGTCTGTGTGTTTGTACGCGTGTTTCTAACTCAAAAACGAAAAGTCGTACGAAAGCGAAATTGTATATTTAAGGTTTTTGTGTGTCTGCAATGTTATAGCAACTTTTTTTGTCAAAATTGGCTTACCGGAAGTGGCACTTTATTTAATATATTTTTACGATATTTTCGAAAACTGCTATAACGATTTTGATTAAATTTATTATACCAGTGTATAATTCATTTATTCAGTCACTAGGGAAATCAGCAATGTACAAAACAATTGTGACAGAATCCGAACGTTGTTAATAACTGAAAACCTAAAATTTGAAGGTAAAATAGACCAGTTATCCCGAAGTGGCACATGGCAAGAGGACATTAGATACCGTAAAAGCAGTTATTATCGAAAATTATTTGTCAATGCCATTATACTGTAGGCCTCCCCTAATTAAGAGGGTATTGGTCTAAATTCACGAAGAGACCAGCCGTATTAGGAGGTAGATTTAAAAGTTAATTTATATTAAAAAATGCACAAAGAGACCTTTTCAACCTTACAACATGTTAATCGCGTTATGATTAAACATTGAAATAGGGATAAAAATAACCATAGTTTTAATCCTATACTATCTTGATGCAGCCTCGAAATGTATTTAGTTTGCCTGATAATGCTATAATCAATTACTTACCTTTTATTAAGAATTTAAAATGTAGCTTTCTTTATCTCACATTTATCTATAAGTTTATATTAAAGACATACTTTTTGAAGCCAAGTTTTTATTAATTTACTCTAAAAAATCACAATAATATTCCCCCATAAATATATTTTAAAGCTAGCGAAGCTTCTACGACCGTTAAAGTCTTTTCTGTTAGTGACTTCAACTCATAAGTTTACAGACCTTTTTTGACCTATTTTTCTTCTTCTTCTTTTTTTTTTTTTTTTTTTTTTTTTTATAGAACCATACTTCTTACAGAACTTAAGTAAGATAGCAAAAGAAAACCAATGAATCACTCTATGCCTGTAATACTATTTTAAATAAAACATTTTAAAACATTCAAATTTTAAAACACATTTTTTTGTATTTTTCATCTTAAGAATAGAAATATAAAATAGATAGCTCATAACTATATTTTCTTTTTGATATACAAAAGAATTATAAGTATTTTCTTTTCATGATATTAAAATACAAAAAAAGTATTTAATTTTATTATTTTAATATAATATAGTTTAGTTCATGATTTTCTATTAATATATGATATTTAAGTTTTGAAATGTTATTTCTAGGTTGATTGATTAATAAAGCTGAGAGGGAATTGAAATAATAATGCAAAATATACATTTTATTAATAAGTTTTTATTTATATAGCTAGATGAGTTTATACAATTTATTATATACAATATAATTTCCTTTTACAAAATGTGCCAAAATACAAAATTATCTTCATACAGTCATACAGCGCTTACTTATATCTTCTGTTCTGTAACAAAAAAAAAAAAAAAATAATAATAATTAATATCATATTAATAACATCTACGATTTTATTTTCCTATATACAAAAAGTATGTAATAATCATATTCAATAACCCATTGATGCATTAGGTTTCCGTCGCATAAAATATAGATTAGAGGATATTTTAATTAAGATCATCGATCTGAGAAATAGACTTTTGCGGTGCAGTACATTAACTAACAAGTATTATTAACTATTACTAATCATGAATTACTAATATTACTGATAAATTACTGGTTTACTGTCAATTCTTGATCATTATCAGAAAATTTAGAATAAAATTACTAATATATAAAAAGGATAAAAAAATGTCTTCATTGCTATACATATATAGACGAATTTATTAATAACTTGCTTATTTTTTTTAAGTGAAGACTTCTTTAGACACGTTTTGCACTTTTTTCATGAAGAGTGAATTGGATTGAGCCTTCAAATCTCCGATGTGTTACGCTCGGGTAAAGTCGGATGGAGTCGAATAATTGAAGTGTTTTTGCAACTGGATTAAAATATCTCAAAAAATATAAATCAGACTTGCATATTGTGAGCGAGGGAAAGGTTCATCATTTCATTCTCTTTGCAATGGGCTAATATTCAAAATTGTATCTTAACGCGACGCTGTATTAGGAAAGCAAAAAATAAAATATTGTCGATAACCGAACGATAACAAGTTTTATTGACGATTAAAATATCTCAGAAACCAAAAAATCGGACCTGCATACTGTAAGTGTGGAAATCGCTCAGCATTTAATCCTCTTTATCGTGAGATATTATTTATAATTTATATATCATATTTTTATTCCCGCCTTGTTGATGTTTTCACTTCTATCTATTAGACTAAAGCTCACAGCTTTTTTTTAAAGATAAATTAGATTAAGGATAAATTTTGTGATTGCTTACCATACAATATGAATGTTCGTTCAGAAACTGACTCATAAGAGCATGTGGAACAGGTGCATAGGTATTTGATGGTCTCTGCTGGAAACAAACAATAAAATATGGTATTAAACATATTGTTAGGAAAACAATAATAATAATAAAACTAATACAAAGTTATAATTGAATCAGTTAAGATGTTCAATAAGAACAAAATGTTTCGAAATTTATCAAACTAAAAAGAAATATATTATGTATCTGGAATGGCTTTCCTGTATATAATATATTTCATATAATATAATTATATAATGTGGTGAAGGATTTCTTGAAAAAAAAAAAAGAAACTATCACTGTCATATTCTCGAAGAAAAACTTGATTTAACATTAATTAAAAAAATGTATTAGTAATGAATAATATTTTACAAATTGTAAATTACATGAAAAAATAACATTTATTTCTGTATATTTGGGAAATATACATGATTTAACTATACAGATCTTTTAATTACAAAATAAATTCATCTAAACTTAATAACCCCACGCGTCTTGTAATCTCACACCATGAGCTTAAAAAATATATGTTAAATAAAACAATTGCTCTTATGATCTACCACCATTTAAAATTAAAAGTGAGCAATTCACTTTTACATATATATATGAAATATCAGTAATGTTGCCCAAGATCGGTCTTTGTCTTGCAATTTTCACTTCGTTAGGTTTCCCAATTCTCATAAATTACAACAATATCTCTATAATATGTAGTGCTAAAATTTTTTTAAAGGTTATTAAATTTGTGACAAAACTATCAAAAAATTGTCTAAATTTGACCAGTTTTAGCAATGTTACAGTTGATAATATTTTATACACTGATTGTAATAATTTTTGACTTGCACGCTTAGATTGCTCTAGCTAATCAAATAAATCGTACTGCAATTAAGTCTATCTCGTACTGTGAATTATTCTAGTTCAATTGTGTTATCTTTAATGAAAATATTTAAAATTTAAAAAGATTGTGTGAAATCGGTTGTAAAGTCATGTGAGTGCACACGCCAGATTTTTATTTAAATAATTGGTGACATTTAATAGATTGTCTTCACTATACAATTCTACAATTCGAAGATGGGACCTATCAATAACTTTCTTGAGAGTATTGCCAAGTAAATTGTATTGATTTGATTGGATTTTACTTTGTTTACGTGAATAAAACATCTATATTTAACTATTTTGTAGCGTTTTTCCAAGATCTAAAGTAACATGGTTAATAAATAGCAATAAGATAATAGGCAATTGTAAGACAAAGATCAAGACCAAGACCAAGACCAAGACACGTCTTATTCTTGCGATTGGGAAACAATTTAGGAATGCGATTCCAGTATAAAATAAGTAACATAGCACTATTAAACGATAATTTAAAATGTAAATTTAACCCGCAAAAATAACAGCAACAATAATGAAATAGGTTTAGTTATTCTGGATGTTGATAAATAATAAGCTGTTAAGAATAAAGAACTGTTAATTAAGAGTAAACAAATCTTTTTTTCATTTTAAAAATTATAATTTTATACTAAAGAGAAGAATAGTTGGGGTGGTCAGTCAAAAAAGAAGGCAAAAATAAATGATAATATTTATTTTTACATATGCCGACGTTTCGACCTGAAGTTCAGGCCATCATCAGGGCTAAGAAAAGAACAGTTAACAAGTTATGAGAAATATAAAAATTACAGTAAAATGAAGTTGTTAGAATAATGACAATAGTAAGAACAAGAGACAAATAATAATAACAGGTACAAAGTGTGAATTTATGAAGTAAATATAGTCAAAAAAGGTGACATAAGTATTGTAAAGGGAATCTTAGAATAAAATGTAAAACAGAAAAATATGATGTTATATAAGAGATAGAAATAAATAGTAAAATTAAGATATAGTGAATAGAATATTTAGATAGAAAATTGAGATGTTGTAAAGTCTATCAATATGTACAGACACTTTTTTTGACTATATTTACTTCATAATTCCACACTTTGTACCTGTTATTATTATTTGTCTCTTGTTCTTACTATTGTCATTGTTCTAACAACTTCATTTTACTGTAATTTTTATATTTCTCATACCTTGTTATCTGGTTCTTTTCTTAGCCCTGATGATGGCCTGAACTTCAGGTCGAAACGTCGGCATATGTAAAAATAAATATTATCATTTATTTTTGACTTCTTTTTTGACTGACCACCCCAACTATTCTTCTCTTCATTATCCACGACAGTCAACCATTTACCAATTATAATTTTATGCTAAATAATGAATGTATTTCGGGCTACATATGTAAAGAAAAGTACAATTCCTTCAAAGCTATACACATATTGACTAATTAAATAATTACTAATTAAGTATTTATTAAAGTTACACTTGATTAAGTATAATTTTTGGGACTGCTTACCATCGAATAGGAGTGCTCCGTTATAATGTTATTAATATCAGAAACTGGGTCAGGATGGTTGTTTACGAATGGTCCCTGCAAGCAAGAAATAAGACATGGAATCAAGGATACTGCTAGAAAATTAATAAATATAATAGAATTAATTAAAAATTATAACTTTTAACTTAATAATGAATTTATTACGAGCTACATGTGTAAAAAAGAGTACAATTGCTTCAAAGCTTTTCACATATTGACTGATTAAATAATTAGTAATTAAGTTTTTATTAAAGTCACACTTGGTTAAGTCTGATCTAAATTTTGTGATTGCTTACCATCGAGTAGGAGTGTTCCGTCAAAATGTTATTAATATCGGGAACTGGGTCAGGACGGCTGTTGAGGCTGTTTACGAGTAGCCTCTGCAAGCAAACAATAAGACATTGCATTAAGGATACTGTATTTATTAAAGGATAAGTATATATTAAAGTTGCAATTAATTAATTCTTATTAAAGTTAAACTTCATTAACTCTAATTAAAGTTACACTTGATTAAATCTAATTTTTGAATGCTTACCATCGAGTAGGAGTGCTCCGTTAAAATGTTATTAATATCAAAAACTGGGTCAGGATGGCTGTTTACGAGTATCTCCTGCAAGCAAACAATAAAACATGTCATTAAGGATACTGCTAGAAGATTAATAAGTATAATAAAATTAATTAAAAATTATAAGTTTTAACTTAACAATAAATATATTACGGGCACATATGTTAAGAAGACTACACTTGCTTCAAAGCTTCACACATATTGACTAATTAAATAATTAGTAATTAAGTTTTTATTAAAGTTACACTTGAAAAAGTCTAATCTAAATTTTGTGACTGCTTACCATCGAGTAGGGGTGTTCCCTCGAATTGTTATTAATATCAAGATCTTGGTTAGGATGGTGGCTGTTTGACAGTGGCCCCTGCAAGGAAACAATAAGACATGGTATTAAGGATACTGCTAGAAAATTAATAATTATAATAAAATTAGTTGAAAATTATTACTTTTATCTAGACAATGAATGTATTATGGGCTACATGCGTAAAGAAGATTGCTTCAAAGCTTCACACATATTGACTTATTAAATAATTAGTAAATGAGTTTTTATTAATATTACACTTGATTAAGACTAATTTAAATTTTGTGATTGCTTACCATTGAGTAGGAGTGCTCCATTAAAATGTTATTATTAAGAACTATTATTTTTTTTTTTAATCTCTTACATCCTACTTTGTACTTAAATTAAATTAAAAACAAGCCATTTTATACAAATCAGTGGGGGCCAGAAGGGGATCGTACGGCGCAGGTTGTTGTATCAAAATTTGTGATGTTAGTCGCATGTTTACTTACAGGTTTATGAATTTTTTTGGGAGGATGTCATATTTTTACAAAGTTTCAATATTGAGAAATTTTAAGCCAAAGAAGTAGTAAAAACCATGACTAAGACCCAAGCAATTGTAATTGAATTTGAAATGCAATTTCTGCATTTCCATTCACGAGATAAACAAATCAAACTTCAGAAACTTTTTAAAACCATTTTCCCATTTATCCTTCCTCAAAACAGTTGGAGAATTGTTGAAAAAGCGATCAGACATTTAGAGGTGAGGGATGTCTTGAAAAAAAAACTATCACTGTTTTACTCTCGAAGAAAAACTTGATTTAACATTAATTAAAAAAATTAGTATCAGTAAAAAAAATCAGTAATAAATAATACTTTACAAATTGTAAATTACACGAAAAATAACCTTTTTTTGTTTTAATAACCTTATATTTGGGAAATATAAATGATTAAACTATAGAGCTCTTTTAATTATAAAATAAATTCATCTATACTTAATAACCCCACGCGTCTTGTAACCTCACACCGTGAGCTTAAAAGATATATGTTAAATAAAACAATTGCTCTTATGATCTACCACCATTTAAAATTAAAAGTGAGCAATTCACTTTTACATATATATATGAAATAAATTGGATAAATTGGTTTTACAGTAATGTTGCCCAAGATCGGTCTTGTTCTTGCACTTTGCCCTTCGTTAGGTTTCCCAATTCTCATAAATTACAGCAATATCTCTATAATATATAGAGACGAAATCAACGAAAATAGTATAGATTCAACAATACTGCATAACTATTTTAGTCAGCCTTTTGAATAATTTTATATAAAGTAATTAAATCCACTAATATATTTGAAGAGAAACATGTTTGTATAAAAACAATTTATTTTACAGACAAGTGAAAGTAGAAATGCAATTTTCTATCTAAATATTCTATTCACTATATCTTAATTTTACTATTTATTTCTATCTCTTATATAACTTCATATTTTTCTGTTTTACATTTTATTCTAAGATTCCCTTTACAATACTTATGTCACCTTTTTTGACTATGTTTACTTCATAAATTCACACTTTGTACCTGTTATTATTATTTGTCTCTTGTTCTTACTATTGTCATTATTCTAACAACTTCATTTTACTGTAATTTTTATATTTCTCATAACTTGTTGTTAACTGTTCTTTTCTTAGCCCTGATGATGGCCTGAACTTCAGGTCGAAACGTCGGCATATGTAAAAATAAATATTATCATTTATTTTTGCCTTCTTTTTTGACTGACCACCCCAACTATTCTTCTCTTCAGTATAAAATTATAATTTTTTAAAAGAAAAAAAGATTTGTTTACTCTTACTTAACAGTTCTTTATTCTTAACAGCTTATTATTTAGAAACATCCAGAATAACTAAACCTATTTCGTTATTGTTGCTGTTATTTTTGCGGGTTAAATTTACATTTTAAATTATCGTTTAATAGTGGTATTTTACATATTTTATACTGGAATCGCATTCCTAAATTGTTTCCCAATCGCAAGAATAAGACATGTCTTGGTCTTGGTATTGATCTTTGTCTTACAATTGCCTATTATCTTATTGCTATTTATTAACCATGTTACTTTAGATCTTAGAAAAACGTTACAAAATAGATAAATATAGATGTTTTATTCACGTAAACAAAGTAAAATCCAATCAAATCAATAAAATTTACATGGCAATACTCTCAAGAAAGTTATTGATAGGACCGATCTTCGAATTGTAGAATTGTATAGTGAAGACAATCTATTAAATGTCACCAATTATTTAAATAAAAATCTGGCGTGTGCACTCACATGACTTTACAACCGATTTCACACAATCTTTTTAAATTTTAAATATTTTCATTAAAGATGACACAATTGAACTAGAATAATTCACAGTACGAGATAGACTTAATTGCAGTACGATTTATTTGATTAACTAGAGCGTGCAAGTGAAAAATTATTACAATCAGTGTATAAAATATTATCAACTGTAACATTGCTAAAACTGGTCAAATTTAGACGATTTTTTGATAGTTTTGTCACAAATTTAATAACCTTTAAAAAAATTTTAGCACTACATATTATAGAGATATTGCTGTAATTTATAAGAATTGGGAAACCTAACGAAGTGAAAAGTGCAAGACAAAGACCGATCTTGGGCAACATTACTGATATTTCATATATATATGTAAAAGTGAATTGCTCACTTTTAATTTTAAATGGTGGTAGATCATAAGAGCAATTGTTTTATTTAACATATATTTTTTAAGCTCATGGTGTGAGATTACAAGACGCGTGGGGTTATTAAGTTTAGATGAATTTATTTTGTAATTAAAAGAGCTGTATAGTTTAATCATGTATATTTCCCAAATATACAGAAAAAAAGGTTATTTTTTCATATAATTTACAATTTGTAAAGTATTATTTATTACTTATAGTTTTTTTAATTAATGTTAAATCAAGTTTTTCTTCGAGAGTAAAACAGTGATAGTTTTTTTTTTTCAAGAAATTCTTCACCACATTATATAATTATATTATATGAAATATATTATACACAGGAAAACCATTCCAGACACATAATATATTTCCTTTTAGTTTGATAAATTTCAAAACATTTTGTTCTTATTGAACATCTTAACTGATTCAATTATAACTTTGTATTTGTTTTATTATTATTATTGTTTTCCTAACAATATGTTTAATACCATATTTTATTGTTTGTCTCCAGCAGAGACCATCAAATACCTATGCACCTGGTCCGCATGCTCTTATGAGTCAGTTTCTGAACGAACATTCATATTGTATGGTAAGCAATCACAAAATTTATCCTTAATCTAATTTATCTTTAAAAAAAAGCTGTGAGCTTTAGTCTAATAGATAGAAGTGAAAACATCAACAAGGCGGGACTAAAAATATGATATATAACTTATAAATAATATCTCACGATAAAGAGGATGAAATGCTGAGCGATTTCCACACTTACAGTATGCAGGTCCCATTTTTTGGTTTCTGAGATATTTTAATCGTCAATAAAACTTGATATCGTTTGGTTATCGACAATATTTTTTTTTTTGCTTTCCTAATACAGCGTCGCGTTAAGATAAAATTTTGAATATTAGCCCATTACAAAGAGAATGAAATGATGAACATTTCCCTCGCTCACAATATGCAAGTCTGATTTATATTTTTTGAGATATTTTAATCCAGTTGCAAAAACACTTCAATTATTCGACTCCAGCCGACTTTACCCGAGCGTTACACATCGGAGATTTGAAGGCTCAATCCAATTCACTCTTCATGAAAAAAGTGCAAAACGCGTCTAAAGAAGTCTTCACTTAAAAGAACTAAGCAAGTTATTAATAAATTCGTCTATATATGTATAGCAATGAAGACATTTTTTTATCCTTTTTATATATTAGTAATTTTATTCTAAATTTTCTGATAATGATCAAGAATTGACAGTAAACCAGTAATTTATCAGTAATATTAGTAATTCATGATTAGTAATAGTTAATAACACTTGTTAGTTAATGTACTGCACCGCAAAAGTCTATTTCTCAGAACGATGATCTTAATGAAAATATCCTCTAATCTATATTTTATGCGACGGAAACCTAATGCATCAATGGGTTATTGAATATGATTATTACATACTTTTTGTATATAGGAAAATAAAATCGTAGATGTTATTAATATGATATTAATTCATTTTTTTTTTGTTACAGAACAGAAGATATAAGTAAGCGCTGTATGACTATATACTTTAAATTGCTTGGGACAGTACAAAAAATTGATGTATATGTTTGTTCAATAAAAACTTTGGAGGTTGAAAAACAAAATAGTAATTTATTTTATGTACTTAAAATAATAAAATTAAATACTTTTTTTGTATTTTAATATCATGAAAAGAAAATATAGCTATGAGCTATCTATTCTATATTTCTATTCTTAAGATGAAAAATACAAAAAAAATGTGTTTTAAAATTTGAATGTTTTAAAATGTTTTATTTAAAATACTACTACAGGCATAGAGTGATTCATTGGTTTTTCTTTTGCTATCTTACTTGAGTTCTGTAAGAAGTATGGTTCTATAAAAAAAAAAAAAAAAAAAAAAAAAGAAGAAGATGAAAAATAGGTCAAAAAAGGTCTGTAAACTTAGGAGTTGAAGTCACTAACAGAAAAGACTTTAACGGTCGTAGAAACTTGGATAGCTTTAAAATATATTTATGGAGGAATATTATTGTGATTTTTTAGAGTAAATTAATAAAAACTTGGCTTCAAAAAGTATGTCTTTAGTATAAACTTATAGATAAATGTGAGATAAAGAAAGTTACATTTTAAATTCTTAATAAACGGTAAGTAATTGACCATAGCATTATCAGGCAAACTAAATACATTTCGAGGCTGCATCAAGATAGTATAGGATTAAAACCTATGGTTATTTTTATCCCTATTTAAATGAATGATTAAAAATCATAACGCGATTAACATGTTGTAAGTTAGAAAAGGTCTCTTTGTGCATTTTTTAATATAAATTAACTTTTAAATCTACTTCCTAATACCGGTGGTCTCTTCGTCCCCTCTTAATTAGGGGAGGCCTACAGTATAATGGCATTGACAAATAGTTTTCGATAATAACTGCTTTTACGGTATCTAATGTCCTCTTGCTATGTGCCACTTCGGGATAACTGGTCTATTTTGCCTTCAAATTTTAGGTTTTCAGTTATTAACAACGTTCTGATTCTGTCACAATTGTTTTGTACATTGCTGATTTCCCTAGTGACTGAATAAATGAATTATACACTGGTATAATGAATTTAATCAAAATCGTTATAGCAGTTTTCGAGAATATCGTAAAAATATATTAAATAAAGTGCCACTTCCGATAAGCCGATTTTGACAAAAAAAGTTGCTGTAACATTCCAGACACATCAAAACTTTAAATATACAATTTCGCTTTCGTACGACTTTTCGTTTTTGAGTTAGAAACACGCGTACAAACACACAGACACAAATACACCCACCCACACACACACGCACACACACACACACACACACACACACACACACAGACTATTTTGCGGGACTTGGTTATTTGGACTCAAAACGTGTATTTCTGTTCAAAACTGAGATTCAAAAATTTTCACGATCGCAATACTCTCCTTTACTATATATTTAATATATATATAGGTAAGCGAAAGTAATAAGCATTAAATAATAATAATTCCTAAGCTAATGAAAGGTAAATATAATTATAATATTTTTTAAATAATTAGTTTTTCGATTAAGGGCATAATAATAATAAAAGTACATGTTTAACGGTAACAGTTCTCAAGGAAAAATAATAGTACCACTTCCCATAAGGGAGGGCCCTCCGCCATATTTATTAAATTTAAATGACATGGCATAGAAACGTATATCATTTGTATTAGTTGTCAGTAATGAATTTTCTATTTTGAATTAAATTTAGTTCAGATCGAATATGATTTCTGCAATTCCTGATACAAGATGCTATCCCAAACCAACAACTTACTTTGACGCAAACTGGTTCTCATGGTGTAGCTTATCATGTTCTATATGGTTTTTACTGATTTCGATAACGGTGTTGATGATGTTTTGAATCCCAAGATTGACTAAAATTTTGGAGCAATATCCTTTGTTTCAACTCATAAAATTCAGCTGCATCCACCGGTGCCAACCTCTCTCTCTCTCCTTCCCTTCTCCCCCTCCCCCCTCTGTTTGAGACTATTGTTTGGATTTTTTTTTTTTTTACTTTCACTTAGTAGGTAGTAAACAATAAGTGAAAGTATTGCGATCGTGAAAATCTTTGAATATCAGTTTTCAACGAAAATACATGTTTTAACGTAATTTGAATCGAAATGACCAAGTCTCTGAAAATGATCTGTTGTGAGTGAATAGCGTAGCTCAAAAATTAAAAGTGGCACAAAACTGAAATTCCGTATTTAAGATTTGTATCTGGCTCCGATGTGCCGTCAATGTTTTCGCTAAAATCGACTGACCGGAAGTGCCATCTTATATTATCGATATCACAGATTTTTAAGTTTTTCTCAAAAACGGTTTTAACAAATTTGACTAAACTCGGTGCATATAATGTATAATTATGTAACCTTTAATATCATGTAGGTTTCATTCCTATTAATGTCTCTTAAATACCCAATGTTCAAAATGTCCTCTTCTAAAGTACCTTTAATTTGGTCTGTTTTAAATAATTAACTATCTCTCTTTATTGGGAGTTATGACAAAAGGATTAATATAACTTTTGAAAGAATTTGATAATTAAATACAGGAGAATAAGAGAAAAATCCTTATCCTGGTCGAAAATGATTCTCCGGAAAAAAAAAATAGTTAGAAGGTATACGTATGTGAAAAGCACAGAATTTTAGAAAAAAACTTATATCTAATAAATAAACTTGTAGAAGGTAACGAGTAAATTTCTTATTACAAGTAAAATTATTATTTTTTTTTTTAAGTTTGAAAAAGTATTTAAAATCCACCGAATCAAGCCAATGGCATTGTTTAAAATACTATATCATTGTGTGAAAGAAGAAGAGAAATATAAAAATATTTCATAGATATGTTTATATCCTTAAATACATTTACGTTAGTTTAATAACTCTAGATCTGAGATTATATCTAAATAATTAGGCATCTATTGTCCGTTTGTTCCAAAAAAAACGTCATGTAAACATTTAGAAAATTAAAGTAGTGAAGAATTTAAGTGATAAATAAAAGTTGTATATTGCGAGTATCAGATTTTAACACTTGATTTTCTAACTTGTTAGATTCCTTATAAATCTCTGAAAAGACCATTTTAAGCGTTAAATTACGTTATTAGAGTGCTATCAAAGGGCCTATCTACTATTCTCCATACACATTGTACCATTTCAGATTTACTTGTAATATTCTTAGTTAGTATAGCAGTAAATTCCCATAAATATATTTTTTAAATTAATACGATCAATATATTACCCACTCAAAAAAAACAACTTAAAAGCGGTCATTTCAATGATAGTTTAAGGTGAGAATGGAGGTGAAAAAAACAACAACAAAAATGGAGCAACTGATTAAAATATTATTTACAATAACCGCCATTTCTAATCTGAGAAGCGGGCAGGGGATTATAGGCGGGGCCTCGAATCATAGCCATTGACCAATAATGAACGTCCTCCTTCCCAACCATGACCATTAATCAGATAAAACTAATTCTAATAAAGTCTTTATGCCAATAAATGTGTATAAGGAATATATGCATTAATTTTATTTAAATGAATTCAATTTAATCATAAATGTATTAAATTAAAATATACATTAAAAAATAAATTAATATGCAATTATTGCCAACTGCGGTAGAGGGAAAAACATCCATGATTTGTTTACGATTTTTTTTTCTATCGATATTAATATATTTATTTATTCCTTTCTTATATTTAAAAAGAAATTCCGGTATACGATACTGACCTTACTTGGCAGACGTTTTTTATTTAACTTTGCGTGCTCAGCTGTTCCCGACTTCAGTTTTTTACAGGAACCAGTTGTAAAAAGTTTCCGGAAATACTATTCGACCTTTACGCTAAACTTTTAAAGGTACCGAATGGTGCCATTACCTTTTGGAATTAGGGAATAAGTTTATCTTTTTTACCTCTGTACCTGGGGACCGCCAAAGGTTCTTCAGGACTCAGCAGGTAAGTGTGCAATAAATTTTACTGCCAGCAATAAATTCAATAGACAGTATAAATTCAATTTTACTACAAGTGAATGGATGATCGGTTTTCC